GACGCGATTATGACGGCTCTCTTGCAGATGTTTAACGCGAGCGGAAAGTCCGGTGGAGTACAGGAGGACGCGCTGATGGCCGTCGGAACGCTCGTCGAGACGTTGGGCGAGAATTTCCTCAAATATATGGATGTCTTCCGACCCTTCCTTATCGTCGGTCTTCGAAATCACGTCGAATACCAGGTCTGCTCCGCAGCCGTCGGACTGGTGGGCGATATCTGCCGCGCGATTGGCGTCAAAGTGTTGCCATTTTGTGACGAATTGATGACTGTTTTGTTGGAAAACCTGTCCAATCAAACGGTGCACCGAAGCGTCAAACCGCAGATCCTATCAGTCTTTGGCGACATCGCGCTGGCCATCAGTACGGAGTTCAAGAAGTACTTGGATGTCGTCCTCCAGACCCTTATGCAGGCCTCGCAGCTCAACGTCGACCCCAATGACTACGATTTGGTCGACTACTTGAATGAGTTGCGGGAGAACTGTCTGGAGGCCTACACCGGCATAGTTCAGGGCCTGAAAGGCGACGCCGAAGTGCCCAACCCTGAAGTCCAACTGATCCAACAGCACATCCAATATATGGTTCACTTCGTGCTGACCATCGCCAACGATCCCGAGATCACTGACTCTCTGATCGCCGCCTGCGCCGGACTGTTGGGCGATCTGTGCGCCGCCTTCGGTCCCGGACTCCTGGCGCTCGTGGAGAACGAGCCCATACACGTCATGCTGACGAAGGGCAAGAAGTCGAAGAATACAAAGACCCGAACGCTGTCCGGTTGGGCCATCAAAGAGATCCGCAAACTGCGAGCGCCGGCGGGTGTGGTGGGCGTCACCGCTGGTCTGGTAAACAACGTGATCGGCGCCACAGCATCGGAGTCGTGGTCTGTATCCCGAAGTGTTGATTAGATTTTAGTTTTTATGTCTTATTTTCTCCCGATTTTTGTTTCACTTTTAATTGGTTCCCAAATCTCATCAAACCTTTGATTTTGTAGTATATTTTAAACAGTATTATATATTTTATTGATTAGTATTTAATATATTGATAATTACTAATATCGTAAGTGATTTAGTGTTTAGTAATTTCGTTGTCTATGAACTGATTATTGTAGGCATTCCTCTGTACCTCAATTTGTTCCCCGAGTTATCCATCAAAGAGGCTTAAGATCGCCTGTCACTGAATGACTGAATTAATGGTATTTTAGACTATTTCTGAGTCTTTTGTTTAATTTTTACAGATTTACTGAAAACATTTGATTGAATGCATGACTGGTTTGGTTCACACTATTTAACTAATCTCTCATTTATTTAAACAACTCTTTAATGATTAGTTAATTATATATAAAATCACTGAAAATTTATTGCTTTGTTTTATAATTAAAAAAATTTATATTTTTAAAACAACTGTTAATTATTTAAATAACAATTTTCCA